AATCCTGCTTGTCTCCATTCTTTGTGTCTCCTGTCCCTTCTCATCCCCACTCCCCCTCTAGGGTCCTCGTTGACCAACCCGCGGGTCGGGACAACATGAAAGATTTTCATGTTAAGTACCTGTTTTTAAATCAAAAGCCAGTATCAGTGCTCAGTTTATCTCTAAATTTTCCACTGTCTTTTACATTTTGCTTCTTAGTATCACAAGATTATTGTTTCATTAAACATTTTGTTTTGCTTTAACATTGTTTTTCTGTCTCTGTCCCTGTCTCTCCCCTGCATCCTGTTCTCCCCCCTCTCCTTCCTCTCTTCCTTCCTTCTTTTCTTCTTTCCAGGATTGGGGATCAAATCCAGAGCACTAGGACATGCTAGACAAACACTATACCACGAGCTACATCCCCAGCCATTGTTTTGGTTTTTTTAAAATGTTACAGGGTATTACTAACTTTCACAGGGCCTCACTAATTTGCCCATGCCTTGAATTGTCATCCCTCATGCCTCAGCCTCTCAAGCAGCTGGGATGCAGGTATACAACATGAGGTTCAGCTATTTCTTACATTTTTAGAAGTTACTTTCTACAGGAGGGTTGATTAGAGTACCTAGTCTGTGGCACCGCAGGAAACATGTCTTACTCACTCCCGTATCTTTTACTTCTATAGCCTACCATCCAATGCTTTACAAATAGTATGTGCACATAAGACATGGCTAACCTAATCTGAAAGATGACATTCTGGTAAAAGAATATTTAAGTCAGTACAAGTGAAAACAAAGCCTTTATTTATTCATTTATTTTTCGAACTGGGAATCAAACTCAGGACCCCACACCTGCCAGGCAGGTGCTGTGCCACTAACCTATATCTCAAGCCCCAAGCCATTACTAAAGAATAGCTTAAGCCAAGATTTTCAATTCAGCATTTTAAAATAGCTCCCAGGAGAAATATAGTTTTATGATATATTATTACTTTATATGGACATGGATTTTATTAAAATGATCTTATGTTGATTTAACTTTTAAAATTATGTAGCCAGGCATGGTGGTGAATGCCTGTAATCCCAGCACTCAAGAGGGCTGAGGCAAGAGGGTTATTGCAGGCCCAAGACCAGTCTGGGCTATAAAGTGAGCTCAAGGCCAATCTGAACTGCCTAGTGAGATCCTGTCTCAAAAAGACAAAAAGAAAGAAAAAGCAATATATGGTAACAATGCAAGTTTCACACATGCATGACATGTGATCAGAATATAAGTGATTATTTAAAGTTCAATTATAGTAAAAGACACTGCCATTGGTTTCCCTCAAAATACTCCAAACTCCCACCCTTCCTGCCATATTTGAAGAAGTTCCAGAAGTCTGTTAAGGTCTTTCCGAGGTGTGATGAAAAATACAGCCAGCACAGCAGCGGAGTGCCCTCCAGCATGAAGGCAGGCGCAGGCAGGGTCAAGGTGGGGCCTCCTCTACGTCATTTACCAGATCAGCGCTAGGCAGCTTCCGGCTCTTTCTCAAAGTGAAAATAACCGCAAAAGCTAAGTATTCTGAATCCATTCCAGACATTAAGACAGTCACAATAGCACAATTAATCATATTCACCAAAGGAGACTTCCAGACCTGCTTAGAAAGTGTCCAGAACAATGGGACAGGGGCCAGTGAGATAGCTCGGCGGTCTAAAGCTCCTACTTAGGCAAGCTTAGGCAAAGCGCAGCAATCACGGTTGGATCCCCAGCACCACATGGATAAGTATGTCTGGAGTGAGGGGTAATATTTTTGGAGTGATTAATGATAACATGTCCTTTAATACAATAACTTTTTAAAATTTAAATATTCACTGTAATTATCACTCACATCTCACATACAATAAACATACCAAGACAATTTATTCCAGTTATGACAACACTTAATTTAGGCAGGAAAAGGCATAAAGTAAACACCCTCCTGACAAAGACACTGACCCTTCAGCATGTACCCGTGGAAGACTGACTCAATTACAGGAAATGAAATAGCTTCGTTTATTTTAGTATATAAAACTTAAGAAAAAAATCTTGCCTTATTTCCAGTTCTGCCAATTATTTTTTGGTGCCACACCTCTGTGATTATTTTTATGACCCTGTCAATGTAAAAATGGAATAGCAACATTGCTTTATGTACTTAGAAGTGTTGTGAAGGCTAACGATAAGGTTCTCTGAGGGAGCCAGAAACAAAGTCACAAATGATCACTACAGATTTGTTAAAATTTAGTTAACGGGGCTGGTGAGATGGCTCAGTGGTCTAAAGCACCTACTTAGAACAAGCTTAGCTAAACAAAGCACAAG